CAATAGAGGAAAGGTGATTTGCCTAAAGAATTCTGAATGTTCAGAAAGTGAGAGTGGATCCCAGACAGCCAAAGTAAGACAAATGAATTCTACAAAGTGAAGGTGAAATTAAGGGTATGGTGGGATAAAGCTAGTCTTGCCTATCTTTGCCCAAAGCTAAACCCTGTTATAGAATATTTAAAAAACAAAAAAAAATCACCTTATTTTGAAAATGGCTAAAAACAAAGTAAAAAAGAAAGCATATTTTCCCTGTCTTTTCTATATCAACTCTACCCTCAGGTAACCAAATGGTAGATCACAGTAAGTTTCCTTCCAAGGGAGTAGTCCGGATAAAAAAGTGAAGAGGGAATGAATGACAGATTTAGAATTTTGCAACCCCTAATAAATAAATGAGCGCATGCATTGGGCGTCGGTGGCCACCAATAACACAAAATGAGAGCCCACTAGGCATTAGGTGTCTTTTTATGTCTTTTTATGGAACACCATTAATCGATCTCTTCCGAAATAATGAGCCTGAATGTGAGTAAATCTGTAGATTCAACTAGCAATTTATAGGAAATGCAGAGGTGAGAAGAACATGTGAAACTGTGTCACAAGGACACAAACAACAAAAGCTAGACTGTGACAAGTTCTACAGAACAACTTGGTCTCTTTAACAAATAGCAAGTGAAAGAAAAGAGAAATAGATGGAGGTTGAACCCATGAATCAAAAGACAACTGCCACAAAAACCAATCACAATGTGAGTTACTTGGATCCTGATTCAAACAAAACAGTTGCAAAAAAAGAGGTTTATAACAATTACTGGACTATCAGAAATCTGAATACTGACTAGACACTGAATTATAAGGAATTATTGTCCACTTAGGTATAATACTGCGGTTATGGTTAGCTTTATATAATGAAATAGCTCAGCATGGAATTGATGAACGAAATTTCTTTCCAAAAATATTGAGGGGGATAGTGGATAAAAAAATGTCAATGAAATAAGGCTGGTCATGAGTATATTATGGAACATGAGATTGTATGGTCTTTTTCTACCTACGTTTGGATGTCTGAAATTTTCAAGAAAAAGTTTAAAAAGAAGAACAATACAGCACTTCTTGTGCCTTATCAGTTCCTTTTATCTTCTCAAATGTTCCTAATATACTGCCTACTTGGAAGCCACAGCGTATAATGGACCAAGACTATGGCTGCCCTCACTTGTCTTGATCTCATGACTTTCTCATGTGATCAGGCAAAACATCAAAACATCAGTAGTATTAAGTTCAGCAGTGTTTTCCCCTATGACTGACACAATATTTCTTTGGTCATAACTTCTCTAATAACTATGATTATGATAACTATGGTAACTAAAGTATCCCAAGTATATTCAAAACTCTGTGAAATAACAATTAGGAGTGCTAAAAATTAAATCCAGTACTTGAACCCCCATGGAATTTTCTTCTCAAATTAAAGGTCTATGTATTCACTAGAATGGTTAGGTTTAGGGCATCAGAGAGTGATGACAGAAAGGGATTATAAAATATAATACAATATAATTATATAAAATATAATACAGAAAACAAACAAATAAAAAGAGTGGTCTAAGTCTTGGGTTAAAATCAATCCATCTCACCAAAAGTAAAACAGCCTAGGTGAAGTTGAAGCAGAATTTCACCTGGTCCTTCACTGACCCAAAGCCATACCCTCTGCGACCTCTATTCTGTCACACAGATGAACAACATAGACTCTTCCTGTCTCCACTAGTTCAAGACGCTAAAGAAAAGCAAAATGACAAAGTACGACTGGCAAAGCAGGTCTACTGGCTCCAGAAATAAACTCGAGATCTGAAAGCAAACTCTAAGTTTTCTAAACTTGATTTATCTTTAAAAGAGGGGCGCCGGTTGGTTAAGCATCAGACTTCGGCTCAGGTCATGATCTCATGGTTCCTGAGTTCAAGCCCCGCATCGGGCCCTGTGCTGACAGCTCGGAGCCAGGAGCCTGCTTCAGATTCTGTCTCTATCTCTCTGCCCCTCCCCTGCTCGTGCTCTCTTGCTCTCTCTCTAATATAAAACATTATATATATTATATATACACATATATATAGACATGTTATATACATGTCTATATATATGTGTATATATATATGTACATATACGTGTATATATTTATTAAAGTCCCTTTTACTTTTTTCAATCAGAAAAAAATAACTGCTGAAATTCGACTCAAAAACTAACAGTATATTCTTATTCTTTAACATAAGGATCTATAATAAAACAAACTAAACATATACATTCTTAAACATTCATTGTACATGAAGGAATCTAAATTTGTTTTGAAATCATGAGCTAAACAGGTCCAAAAAGTGTCACAACATTCTTAGTTTTGCTTTATTCAAATAGCAAGTCAAAATTTAGTTAATATATAGATTTTAGGTGCTTGATAAAAAGAATTTAATCGATGGTAAATTTCAGTGGAAGATGATACACAACACAGTCTGTTTTTCAAAACTTCATCATCTATTTGTTCAGATCACCTTTTACATTCTTGCATGTCTGCGTTTGAAGGAGTAACGAAACACAGGCGAGCACTGGGTTATACACTGGTTATGTGTACTCCTGAAAGAGGGATAACACTGCAAAGGCCACAATTAAGGAAACATGGTACATCTATCAGCTGTATTTTGCACAGAGGGTAGGAAAGAGCCATCCCATGGCGTGTATGCCAAATAGTGCTTAATTTTTTGCCAACCACCCCCAACACTTCCAGACAATAAAACCCACAAATTCCTTTATCCTCATATATATTGAGAGGCTTAAGAAAGAATTAGATTGCACCTCGTTAGGCATGCTTCCATCTTTTATTGTGAATTTTATCATTTTAATGTGAATAAAATGAATTTCAATTAGCCACCAACCTATGAAGTTCCCCTTGAACCCAAAGATAGTTCACAAGCAAAAAAAAAAAAAAAAGACCAGGAAAATACTAAACTAATTCTTCAATAAAGTCACAGCCTCTGAAAGAAAAAATGCCTAATTAGAGTTGGACACCTAGACAGGTAACTCAGACAGCCCTGCAATGGACTCTAATGCAGGAACCCAAATAATTCAACTCCAAGCACATAGTAAAGACTGCAGGAATTAAGAAATGGCAAGCTTTTCAGCAGCGAGGTAGGCCAGAAAAATTAACTAATTAATGCCAATGACTGTTGCTACTACAAAGGCAAAAGTGAGCATAGAGGAAAGCAAGCATACAAATCAAATGTTCTCAAGCCTGGAGAGCTTTTCAAAAGTACACTTCCCAGGATCCATTCTGGTCTTATTGGAATTTCTGAGATTCGGACCCAGTACCAAAATTCCTTCACAAGATCCCCAGGTGATTTTTTGTGTATCCAGCAATCAGGATCACTGGTATTCTTCACAAAGAAGGTAAAAGAGGACAAGGAGAGAGAGGGGAAGCGAAAAGACCTTCAGAAAGTATTCCCATTTGTTTAAAGCATCAGCTTTCCATTTAAACTATGCTCATTAATTTCATAGTACCCTCTCCTGGTCGGGAAGGGTATGTAGTATTCTTAGAACTATGGTAAAGAAGAAATTTCCCATTTTCTTAGTTGAAAGAATATATCTAGAAACACTCAGTGAACCTTCATTAATTCTGTATTTTCTCATAATTTAAGTGTAAAATGGTTTGGCAAATATTGTGGTAGCAAAGGTGTTTCTAAACCTAACCTCAACAGTCAGGAGTAATTTTAGAGGTTTTTTGTTGTTGTTGTTGTTGTTGTTGTTTTTTAATGTTTATTTATTATTTTTGAGAAAGAGCACGCAAACAGGGGAGGGGCAGAGTGAGAGGGGGAGAGAGGATCTAAAGTGGGTTCCGCGTTGACAGCAGCCAGCCCAATGTGGGGCTCAAACTCATGAACCGTGAGATTATGACCTAAGCTGAAGTCAGACACTCAACTGACTAAGCCACCCAGGCGCCCCAAGAGCAATTTTTAAAAATGTGTCATCTGCTTTATTTCAAGGTTTGTCATCCCTGACACTACTGACATGTTGAACCAAATGATTTGGGATTGCAGGGAGCAAACTCTGAATATAAGCAGTTTTACAATATTCAGTAATAACTTTTTTTATGACATAGAAGGCTACTGTTTCAATGTAAATTATGAGTTTTTAAAATCATCTTCATTTGGCACTTTTATTATCAAAATATATTTCTTATTAGTGAAAGATGACCCATTTAGTAATTAAATCTAAAATTCTTTAATTTTTGTATACCAGGTTCATAAAGAATATCTCATAAGAAAGAACAACCATAGCGAAGGTTTATTTTTAAATAAACTATTATGGGATTTGTTCATGGATACATAGTATGTGTGTACATGAATATTCTGATTATTTTTCAATTTAAGCATCTTGTGATATATAAATCTATGTGGTACAACAGTTTAATCAGCATATCCTGGTTGCTTTATTTAATTTTTCACGTTAAAGACAAGACCGAAATCAAAACCTCTGAACTTATACTTTTCAACCTCAAAGAATAGCTATAATTCTAAAATAGCATCAATACAGCCAATATTATTCTTCTGAATATTAATGAGCTATACTGAAACAAGGTAAAATATAAATACCTTGCTTTGTACTTAATTTGAAGTGTTGCCACTAAAATCAATTACAGATGTTTATTCTGAAAGACATTACTATGAAGGTTGCAGACTCCAATGCTGATAATGATTTCAGAACTAAATTTATAGAATACCCAAACAACAGGTTGCACTGTACACCTGTAGACAGTTTTAAAATACTCATTAGCAACAATTTTTTAAAGATATAGAAGGCTACTGTTTTCATATAAATTGGGAGTTTTAAAAGCATCTCCCTTTAGTGCTTTCAATTGTCACATGGCAATAAACCAAAGACCCAAATAATTTCAAATGATCACAGATACTATTTAGGCAAGAATTCTCAGATGTCAGTACTTTTAATGTTGTGTACATCAAATTATAGTAAAAAAAGGACTATAAACAAGATGCAGTCCCTCTATTTTCATGAACAGCACAAGAGATTACAGTAAACCCAGTTTATATTCCACCATCAAGTGTGGCTCTCCCATTAGTTCACTTTGTGATGGGTCTGAAAACAAACAAAAACAAACATATTAAAGATTCTCAAAAAAAGATAAATTCCATGATTCCACTCACATGAAAATCTAGAACAGGCAAAACTAACATGAAAGAAGACAGACGAGCAGTTGCCTGGGGCCAAAGGTGAGGGACTGACTGCAAAAGGAGCAAGCAGACTTTCTGGGGTGATAAACATTTTATATCTTGACTGGGGGGACACTTACACAGCAGTACACATTTGCTAAAATTCACAGAATATACACTTAAAATGAGAGCATTCTATTGTATGTCAATTATACCTCAATACAGTTGACTGTTAAGCAGACAAACAAAAACAACAACAGATTGAAAACGTTCTTCTTTTTCAAAGCTCCGAAGTTTTCCAGAGGCTTCCCAGAAACAATCTCTAATCAAGAAATTGATCAGTCTCTTAATCTAGTTTGCAAAAACGTTTTATTTCTATTGTTTTGTACTCTCTTCCATACACAAACATAAATCAGAATCCTAGACCAAGAAAAATTTTAAAATCTTCACTCATTTTTAGAGATGAGTCAGACAAAAGACTTATTTTGACCATACAATACACCTAGAAGAGCTTTTAAAATTAATACTAACAGTAAGTTGCAAAATAACAAAGCCTTTTTCCATTTCTGTCCCCTACTCCACAAACAGGATAAAAAAACCCCAATGAACTAGACTGTAAAATCAGTTTGTAAAAATAAATAAACCACCCACATTAAAATAATGATTACAGATCTGGATGTTTCCTCGCTGGATCTCCTAAGAGACTAGAGATTACTGTGTCACATCAGTTCAGTCATCTATATACTCTCTGCACTCATCACACCATAAAGCAGCCTTAACAACAACTGACACTGCTGTAATTATTAACAACAGAGTAAACTGCTATGTATGTAACAGGCATTCAAAATCTAAACTTATAAAAAAAAAATGCCTGCACATGAGTACAAAGGATAGACAAAGATGTTTGCCTACAGCACTGTTTCATGTGAATAAGTGAAAAATGATAAGCAACCATCAATAAATGCACTGAGGTATCACGCATACTGTTAAGATAGACCCAGTATACCTGTTGTGTTAAAAAAACAAAAACAAAACACTAAGCAAGACCAAATATTTCTGGTTATATATATTTGTACGAAGACATACAGGAAAAAGTCTGGAAGGAAATACACTAAATATAAATAGCAAGTAAATGAAGAACAAAAGAGAAATGGGTTTGGGGGTAATCATGGAGGACTTGAGTTTCAGCTGTCATGTTTTAAATCGTTAAAGAATACGTTAATTTGTATAATGACGACTTTCTTTTAAACCGTTTTAAACTTTGAGTTTAATAAAGTACATGCTTATTAAATAAGTCACTTCCACCAGAAAACAGCACGCCACATAAGCAGGGCGATGGCCTGTGACTCCAACGTCTGCTGTGAGACCATGAGGGAGGACTGAGCCTCTCCATCAGGCTGTTTAACCACCATCAAGTGAGGGAACTAGAGTAAACAGAAATCCCCTTTCAGCATTAAAAGTCTTGTTTTGACTTTACTATTGCCCTCCTCATATTCCCTTCCCTTCCTCGTAAAACGTGCAGAATTTTCTTGGCCAAGTACTCCCTGATGAGCAAGCAAAACTTCATCACCTCCAACACTGAACTCAAAACCTCCAGTCACATAGGTCTTCTTAACACACTCTTATGTGTGTTGAGACAATTCTCCATGCGTCTCTCATGCTTCTTGTAAGCCTTGGATACACAGCCTGCCTTTGTTCTAGGCTCTCTGTCCAAAGTTGTTACTAAAGTGAACAGACTAAGAAGACGACAAAGATCGTGTCTCCTCTGGAGCACAGAACAGGAAGCCTTACTGCCTATTGTAAAAGATTCAGATGCCCTTACCTGGGGGTTCCTCTACCTGTAATAAAACACGTAACATATGCAGCATCACCTGACCTTCTTCAGGCTGCTCCGTGGGAGCTGGGGCTCGGGGAACCAACCAGAAAGCTGACACTCCAGCTACTACTACTGCTCTTAGTAATAAACTGTTGTCTCTAGGAATCTTGTCTTCTGCCCGGATTCATGAAACCATGGCAGGCTAACCTATTAGCTTCTAGATAGGACAACATCAGAGTTCTTCAGCTGTTCTCTCAGGTTACAGACCCTGAACACACTGCTTCTACCTCTACTTTATCAACTAATTCATACATCTTCTAGGAATCAGGTTATGTGTCATATTCCCAAAAGTGCCCCTCTCTCCTACTCAACAACAAACTCTACCCCTATCCCTTTTTATTCCTAGAATTTATCACAATTTGCAATTATATGTCTGTGTTTAACTGTTTAATGTTTACCTCCTGCCTTAGAAAGCACAGTTTGTTTTGGTTTTTTTTTAATTTTTTTTTTAATGTTTGTTTATTTTTGAGACAGAGAGAGACAGAGCATGAACGGGGGAGGGGCAGAGAGAGAGGGAGACACAGGATCGGAAGCAGGCTCTGAGCTGTTAGCACAGAGCCCGACACGGGGCTCGAACTCACGGACCGCGAGATCGTGACCTGAGCCGAAGTCGGAAGCTCAACCGACTGAGCCACCCAGGCGCCCCAGCACAGTTTGTTTTTTTACCATTGTATATTCAGAGCCTAGCTCAGTGCCTGATACACAGTAAATATATAACTGAGTACATGCTCAACAAGCATCTCTCACTTTCTTTACACAAACTTACAGGAGGTGATTTTTAAGTAAATGTGTTCTTATAACTAATTTAAAATGCAAGATAGAAACATGCAGACATGAACAATCACCTTGCTAACTTAAAATGAGGTGTAAGTTCAATGTAAAAAGCTTAGGGATTCCAGGTTTTCCTGCATTCAAACAGTTCCCTCAGGAAAGATTCTCGAAGGGCAGGCTCACTAGACTTCTGTTGTGTCCACAGCATTTCCTCACCGGATATCAGCAGCCAAGCAAAACTAGTATAATTTAATCCTGTTGGGTTTTTCTGTTTCTCCTGAACCGCCGGGGCAAAACGAGCAGAAACAACACCAGACAGAATTATATTTGTTTATCTTCCTCAGGAGCAAAAAAATAGGGGATGCTGCATGTATGGTTCTTACTTAAAAGTCATTTATCTCATACATGCTACAATTATCCAAGGAATTTTGTTAAAAATGACAGATTCTTCTTTCCTATTCACCACCTACAGTAGCACAAAAATTCTTTGGGGGTGGGAGGCAATTTTTAAGGAAAAATTTTCTTATTTTTTCTAGTCCTTTTAAAAACTAGTCGTGTCCCACAAATATTTTAAATACTGAAACAACAATCATTGCTCAAGCTACCCTAACAATACTATGTTAGACTCACACATTAGTCTATGTCTGCAGGACATGAAATGAAAGACTATCATTAGTTGATTCATAGTAGCTATAACCTTGAAACTCCACAAAGAACTTTCACCTTTAAAAACCAGTTCAAGAACAGTTATTACCATTAAATTTTGTCTGATTGCAATGAATAAACACAAGTGAATCCAATGAGCTGTAAGGGCCATATGGATGAGGACAGGACACTGTGGGTTTTGTTTGCTACCATTGCCTTGTACATTATTAGGGCTCCATAAAAAGGTGCTGAATGACACTTACCATTAAGAATATCTTCAAATCCAATAGTCTCATCATTACCCCTCAAAATATCCAGTGAAAGGTTTGAGCTTGGAAGAAATGGAAGACGCTGAGCCTTCAGGAAAAATATGAAAGGGCAAGATTAGAGAAAACCAAAGGGGGGGGGAAACAATAAATAATCTAACTTCTTGCTCTTCATTCTTTATTTGTAAAATTCACAGAACTAAATAAACAGTTTAACCAGTGGGGGGGAAAAAACCAAATAGCAGTTCATATTTTAGACCCAAACCAAATTTTTTAAAATTCCTCAAAACTTTACTCAAAATATGTAAAGACCCTGAAAATTAGAGTTATTAACACTATTAGTTTTATTAACACTTAATAATTCCATCAGGTTTGCACCTGATGGGGCTTTGGGGCTTTGCTTCTGTCATACACATGACGACGTGCAAAAATCCCAGAGCCTAACACCATAATCTAGTTCCAAATAAAGGTGGGATGATCAAATTCCTGAAGAAATTCCACCTTAGTAAGAGTACTACTCTACTTAGCAAACTGATGACTTCACTCTGTATGTTGTTTCATATTGCTCATAGTAAAAATGTAAGTTATGGCCCTTTAAAACAGTACTGGTAACCAGAAAGGAAGGTCAAAGTCACTTGTGAGGCCTTTAAAAAACACAGTAACATCGGGCACTGGGGTGGCTGAGTCGGCTAAGCCCCCGGCTCTTGATTTTGGCTCAGATCATAATCTCATGGTTCATGAGTTCAAGCCCCACATTGGGCTCCGTGCTGGCAGTGCAGAGCCTGCTTGGATTCTCCCTCCCTCCCTCTCCCACTCTCGCTCTCAAAATAAATGAATGAACTTTAAAACAAAACAAAACAAAAAAAACCATGATACCATTCTGAACTAGCAGTATCTACTTTTTTCAAGTACCGTATTTTTTTTAACTTTTTTTTAAAAATTTTTTTAACGTTTATTTATTTTTGAGACAGAGAGAGACAGAGTGTGAACAGGGGAGGGGCAGAGAGAGAGAGGGAGACACAGAATCTGAAACAGGCTCCAGGCTCAGACACATCAACTGGAGCCAGCAGACTGAACTCACAGACCGTGAGATCATGACCTGAGCCAAAGTCGGATGCTTAACCAACTGAGCCACCCAGGCGCCCCCTTTTTTTTTTAATGTTTATTTATTTGAGAGAGGAAAGGCAGGAGGGGCAGAGAAGCTGAGAATCCCAAGCAGGCTCCGTGCTGTCAGCACAGAGCCTGACACAGAGCTTGAACTCACAAACCGTGAAATCATGACCTGAGTTGAAATCAAGAGTCAAATGCTTAACCAACTGAGCCACCCAGGCGCCCCTTCAAGTAAAGTATCAAGCATAGGATCTGCACCCTGGTTTGTAAGCGTAGCAGAGAAAGCACGGGTTGTAGAGCCAGTGGTATCTGGATCCAGACTGTTTTAGGACTCACCATTACTTTAGCTTCGTAGAAGTACCTGATCTGTCTCACTCTTGGTTTCCTCATCTGGGAAACAGGATACTATCACCTTCCTCTCAAACTGGCGGAATGGTGTGGTGTAAAGTATGTATTTGGTATAGTCGTTGGCACATACTTGGTATTCGATGAACTTTTATATAAGCAAACCAAATTTTCAAGTTTTGTGTTCTCTGTTAGTCGTAAGATTAGTTTGGATATTAACAAAAGAATACCAAGAGTGATGGTCCGTGACCATATGATACCAGTATTTTAAAGTAACCATGACTTTGAAATCTCAGGGCATTAAGATTATCTCCCCCAAGAAAATATAACCAGACTAAAACTATTTTTAATTACTAATGGCTTATAGAATTTAGGATGAAAAAATCTCTAGGTTGACAAATGTATGTATGTATGTATGTATTTTTGTTTGTTTGTTTTTGTTTTTTAAAGGAAAGTAGGGAAGACAGAGGAAGAGACAAAAATGGAGCTTTAAGTTAAATCAGAGAGTAAGGGGCCTGGTAGGTACAGTTTGATCAGACACGGTCCTGAGAAAGCACCAAAAGCAGGAAGGAGCAGGCGGTTGTTATATTTCCCAATAAGCGAGAACCACAACAGCACAAGGATAAGGGAAAAAGGCGGGGCGGGGGACAGAATTCCGGACGAGGATTTTTGGATTAAATGGAATTAAAAGTTTAGGCCCAAAATATGAGCAATATGTAACTGGAATCTGAGTAGCAGGAAAATAAAAGGGAAACGAACAATTCTGTGCCAAACATATGTTGTATTTAATCTTCAGAGTTACCCTAATAACCCGACAGTGTTGTTCCTGTTAATTCCATTTCACATTAAAAACAAACACAAGATCTGGGGCTCAGAAAGGTCTCTAACTTGTTTAAGTTCTTAAGACTGGTAGGCAGTGGAGCCAAGATTCACATCCAGGTTACTGTTAGAGCCACACATGCTCTTTCGGAGCTTGATCCTTGGAAAAAAGTTCTGAAACAGCTTCCAGGACGACTCAGCCAACACAGTTGCTGGCATTAATAGAATTTGTTGAAAAAGACACAGTAGTAGGAAGAACACGTGCAAAAGCCAAAAGGCCAGAAAAAAAACTAGGACGCTGAAAGTAGTTTCAGGAGGCTACGAAGTACACTGGAGAACAAGGAGAGGCCAGTTCAGGAGCACAGCCACATTACAGGGTCAGAGAATTATTCTGAGGGCAAAGTGAGGGGAGTGCCACGATCAACTCTGTATTTTACAAAAATTACGTGGCTACAGCATGTACAATGGACTGGAGGGCAGCAGGGGTGGGTGTCGCACTGATCCAGACGAAGCACAGTAGGGGATCAAAACCAATGCAGAAGCGATGGTGTCAACGTGTAATTGATTGGACGGTGGGAGGCAGGGTGGTGGGTGGGGACAGGTGCCGCTTGAGACAACCAAGGCTAATGCTGCAATCTCTGCCTTAGGTAGCAACCTAGTCACACGTGACACACAGTATGTGCGGCATAACGAGTTCTGTACTCACACATGTGAAACGTGAAGTGCCCGTGGGACTCACAACTGGAGAAGCCTACAGGTTTACAGCTCATGAGAATTAAAACTTGGGAGTCATCAACATATACATGATACCTAAAGTCACAGGAATAGGTAGGAAATAATAGGACGAGAAGAGGACTGGAGACGGGAACTAACAAACCTGGTATTGCAAGACGCAGAAGAAAAAAGCAAAAGGAACCTACGCAGAAATACCCGAGAAGGCGATTTCAGACAGGAAGCAGTATCAGGAGAAGTGTGGTGTCCTAAAAGCCAGGGGAAGAAGGAAGGAGTCATTGGTATTACACACCACAGGGAGACCAGACGTCCATGCTGTTCAGGAGCACCTTCACTGGTGATGGAAGCCAGGAAACACGGGGTTGGGTGGACAGGAGGCAAAGGCACATACGCAGCAAACAGAGGCAAGTCTACGACACTAACCTGGCAAAAGTACATTTAGTGAGCGAGAAGTTGCTATAAAGGGACTGATACAACATTTGGGTCGTTTTAAAAGACAGAAAAGGTCGGGATGCACATAAACACTGCTGAGGAGTCTGAGCAAGTAGACAGAGAGGATGAAGACATCAGCTACAGAAAGGATCCACAAAAAGGGAATTCTCTGACGTGGTGTGAGAGGGCAGAACCTAGAACACAGGTCGAGAACAGTTCTTACACCTGGAAGGACATTTCTGAAGATCTTATTCTTTAGCAACAGGCGTACCCAGCTATATGCAAACTGCCTGCTACACACCACCACATGGATATTTCTAGAGGCATTTCAAATTCAATGTAACCCTCCAAAAAGAAAAACATGAAAGCAGATGCAGGTAAGTTTTGGCACTGAGCTCTTAATTTGAAGTCTTCCGCTTAATGTCTTCTTTTTTTTCTGTATAAAGTAGGACTCGGGGTCCTATCCTAAAAGGGGACAAAGTAGAATAGGCTGTAGAGAAGAGAAGGTAAGGTTTATAGGGCTATGAATAGGGAAGAGTCCTTCCAGTCCATAGCAACACACAGGTGGAATGTATCATAGCTGACATGCACAAACTCACCTGCTGCACTGCCTTGAATTCCATTTGTAATTTGAGTGGAGCAAACAGACCCTGGATGTTTCTCAGTGTGGAAAAATTCATTTTATCTTGGTTGAGCTGGAACTACACAGGACAACAACGGAAGTTGAAAGGTTACACTCAACACTCTGCTTTCAAAACCTCATTGATACATGTATAACGCAACACTTAGACAAAGCATTTTACTATCCATAACTGAAATAAAAACAAAACACTTTTGTTAATAAAGTTTAGAGTACGTACGTCTGTTTTATCCAGCATGCAGGTATAGGGTACTTCACTAACGTAAAATTACCCCTAAAACTTGGATTTACAAAACTTTAGATGAAGAATGTTTTTCACATTGCAAAAATACATTTACAAAACGTTTCAGTGCTTTTGATTAGAATTCCCGCAAAACTGGTAAAACACAGAAAGGTATAAATAACCTGAGATCCAGAAATAGTTACATACAAGTGACAAAAATGGTGAATTTCTCAGTATGAAAATATACAATTCAAAGGATTTCACAGAAGAAATAATCACACCCATTATACCACCCTGTTAACTAAGCTATAATGTTTAAACTCCACTCTTTGGAGCAGTAGATTCCTGGGGGGTAGGGATCCGAAACTCTAAAGTCTGTCCAGTTTGCATTGAGTGCTAATAAGGAATTTTTTTTTTCTGGAATCATAGTTTTACTAAACATTGATATTACTTGTAAAAAACTTTGACAATTTAATGTACTTCAGGCAAAATGAATCAACTCCATTCATGGATTCTAATCATACAGTTTCCTAAAATGGCTCTTAGGGGTAGCGGATATGATTTGCAGACAGACTGCTACAAAGGTCTGTGTAAGTTAACTATAGTAAGGTAAAGTGACCTGTGTGATCATTTTTTATTACACTACATTCTCTTGGTAAGATTTTAAGTCATGGCAGGGGCAGGGTAAGAAATTTTAATCAAATACCTACTGAGAGATTAGTGCCCACTGAGACACAACCTGGGGCCATATACGTGAAGTCTAAAGGATATTAAGCAATATGGTTTTTAACTACTGTAGCTGGAGTGCAAAATTTTAACAGATGGTCCTTAGAGAAAATATGCAATATTTCATTATGGGTATATAATCTGAAGTTCTCACTGAAGGGTTTCCTTTAAATACTGAATTAAGTAAATACAGTTTTATGTAAAAGATTCAATTTTACAAACTTTGATGAATGTATCCACCTTATAATATGCTGTCAAACTGCAATTATCAGTCAACATATACTTAATCACTAACAACCACATGCAAAATTAGAATTAGGCTCTGTGGCAATGTACGACAACCAGTCTACCACGGAGAAGGTTGTATGATCGAACTGGGAAAACATTACATACAGATCAGGACTTCTCAACCCCTGGCGCTATTGACATCTTGGGCTACATAATTATCTGTCGTGGTGCACGGGGACAGTCCTGTACACTGTAAGATGTTTAGCAGCATCCCTGGCCTCCGTCCAACTGATGCCACTACCAAAGATCCTTCTTCCCCAACCCTTGTGACAATTAGACCTTTTCAAATGTCCCCTGGAGGAGGCAAAATCATTCCTAGTTGACAACCACTGGTATGAATAACGATGGCCATCTTCCCTATCGTTACTATAGCTCCCAATCATGGAGAGCTACTTTAAGTCAGCATGTGCCAAGTCATGGCTATTACTAACTCCATTATACAGATGAAGAAACTAAGACTTAAAGAGAAATTAAGAAACTTGCCAAGTTCACTTAGCTGCTAAGTATGGTACCAAGAATTCAAACCTGGATAGTTCAATTACACAACCTGTGCTGAAGGATTTATAACAGAAAGTGCCAGACAATTTCAAGAGACTCCCACTACCTGGTTAAGTGATTAAGGAGACTACACAGAGGTGGCACATAGAAGCTGAGTCTCAAAACAACTATATGATTTTTTAACTCTTCATCTGGGCCAGTCTCACTCAGAGTTGTCCAAGTTTCTCTTAACATGTATTGCCCAGAAGTGAACCAATATTCCAAATAATACTTGGGAAAGTGAGACTGTCTCCTCCCTTGATTTGAGTGAGCCCCATCTTATTAATAATAACATTGCACCATCTTCCTGAATAAGACCCCTCTTTATTCTTGCTCTGAACATGTATTTAGAAACCCTGTAAGCTGCCTTACAACATCCATCCAGGCTATACTCCCTTTGGAGTGACTGATCTAAAACTATTCAAATGTCTGCTCTCTAAAGCCTTCCACTAGCCATATGCACAAGTGGTTGCTCCGTCTTCGTCCTCTATAGCATTTTATATAGCCCCTCTCCACTGCCTGTCCTCCCGTTAAATTTTCAGCCCCTCCAGGATGGGGATTATGTCATATTCCTCTGTGTACCTACTATACCACATAAGAGGATATGTCCCTCAGTACCTTGGAGGTGCAGGGCTTGAGAAAGAGGTCAAGGCTAGAGATAAGGATTTGGAGATCAATAGCAAAAATGGCAGAGGAAAAATATGAAAGAAAACAGGATCATCAAATGGGGAAATATTATGAGAGGAATGGTGGATTGGCTTTCAGAAATGTCCATAAAGGGGCACCTGGCTCAGCTGGTAGAGCATGCGACTCTTAATCTCAGGGTCATGAGTTCAAGCCCCATGCTGGGCGTGGAGCCTAGTTAAAATTTAAAAAAGAAAAAAAAAGAAACATCCATAAAAAAGACAAAAGAAGGAATGTGTAGAGCTTTAGTGAAGCAGTATAATGATAATTTGAAGCCTACTCTACAAGGATACTGAAAATAAGTCCTCATATTCTTCATGGTCAAATGCTCAAAATCAAAAATGTCTTAATAAATGAAACCACATAAGTATTACTAAAACTATTCTTCTACTAGAGAAGAAAAGTAAAAATACAAGTAACATACTTACATTTTTTTCTGATAATTCAAGAGGATGACTAGGCAAAAGTTCATTTTTCACACAAGGAAGGCTGAAAATAAACATTTAAAAGGTAGATGATAAATCACTCAATCCCTAAAGCTCAAAATCACATCTATCAATGCGTTTATCTGTAACAGAATGCCACAAGGGACTTTTGGGGGACGATGACACTCTGCATCCTGACTGTGACAGTGGTTACAGAAACTGATACATGTGTTAAAATTCATATAACTATGAATTGTAACATAATGAATTATAACGAGTTATATAACATTAAGAGAAAAAAAGTCAAATCTACTATATAACTGTTTTAAAATGTACCAATTATAGATACTAGTAGTCAATTAACTAGGGAGAGCCCTTCAAAAAACAGTGTTTAAACGATGCCCTATTATCTAGAAGAAATTTAATAAAGTATGTTTAAAACTACTATTACTTGATGACGTGCTTCCTTTACTATACAAAATATCTACACCCCTTCTGTTTAGGTCTAATACATATTCAATATTTAACGTATCTTTAATAAACACATGTTGAACAATGTGTTTCACATTTACTGAACACCTAGTATGTAAGGTCACACGCTGCTAGAACCAGACCACTGGTCTTTATCACCCTAGATATATAAAGATAACTATTCTTATTGCCAAAACAGGATTTGAAAGCTGAAAGAAACCACAGAAATCCTGCAACAACCATTTACTGAATACTGTCTTTGTACAGAAGTATCCTACAAGTGGAATTTGAAAATGGTTCTGTTCACAGCAATCTTATAGTCTAACCAGGAAGAAAAAGGAGCATTTTATGTGAAAATAAATAAATAACAAATCATCAGAACTTGGTCACTGACTAACTCGTGAACTTGATTACACTATGCCATAAATCAAATTCTATTCTCTAATTCCAAAGACTATAAACTGCATCTTTCACTATAAAATGGAAAGACAATAATAACAAGGCATCATATCTGTCCCCAGACACCAGTATTAGAACAACATTCTATTATAGCAGGACCTAAATATCTTAAAGTTACATACAGAATTCAAAATTCAGATGCTACTCTTATTGGATTAAGCAGAAAGGCAACCTGCCAAGAAGTACTAGAAATCGAGACCTAAACATATAGAAACCTGGAAGAAATCAAGGGTACAACTGTGCACTGAGGGTAGAGAAGAAAAATAACAACGGCTAACACTTACTAAGAACTTACTAATGTCAGGGACTGTTCTATTTTTCATGTACTAACTCATTTATTCCTCAAAATAAGATTTATACTATTAACAGCCCTATTTCACATACAAAGACTCTGAGAAATAGAGCAATTAAGTAACCTGCTCAAAGTCATACATCTAGTAAAGAGCGGATCAAAACCCAGGCGGCCTAGTCCAGAGTTAATTCTGTATCTGCTGTGTTCTAGTGTCTCCCAGAGAATTACTCCAGTAGGAAATAAGATTAAGGACACAATGGCTTTCCAAGTCAGCAGTAGCAAAAAGGAGAATCCTAGCAAATCATGCTCCTGGGTGACAGCTCCTAGAAGGAGGCCCTAATCTGGGAACCCACTACCGTCAAAACATTTCTTCATTACAGAAAACATCCACTGAATGGATAAAGAAGATGTGGTACACAAAGACACAATACTCACACACACACTGGAGTATTACTCGGCAATCAAAAAGAATGAAATCTGGCCATTTGCAACCACGTGATGGAACTAGAGGGTATTACAGTAAGCGAAGTCAATCAGAGAGAGACAAATATCACAGGACTGCACTTATATGAGGACTCTAAGATACAAAACAGATGAACACAAGGGAAGGGAAGCAAAAATAATATAAAAACAGGGAGGGGGACAAAAC